TATTCCCGGGGACACCAACAGTGTGTGAAGGGTGTTGCTAATAGCTTCACCGACGTCCCACTCCCAGTGTGTACTACAGGCCAATACTCAGTTCCGGACCTCGGAATTATCCCGGGCCATTCCCGGGCCAGATCCGGCCTCAGAACCGCTATAGTTATTGACCTGTAGGCACGGTCCTGTCAACGTACTTCATGACACTGCTGTGGATTTGGACCAGACTATCCTAATCTGGCATTGATTCCACTGGGGCAAGAAGGTGCACAGTGGTGTATCTCCTGCATTTGCAGTTTTTTGCATCAATTACATTTGCATCCCTGTTACCTTCTCTATCAATTTTAGCTGCTGCCAGTGAGAATGAGGTGAGGGGATTGTAGGGGAGATATGAGGGAAGTCCCGCAATGAAGAATCAGATAATGTAGAAGTGAGGGAGGTTCTCCAAGGTTAGGGACAATAGAGGAAATGGGTCAGGGCATGACAAGTACAGTATGGGAGTATTTATACTAACTAATCAGCATATTGGAGCAGAGCACTAGGCTAGTTACTAGAGGCTGTACGTTTGGTGCCTTTGTCATCAAGTCTCATGATGCACCCTTTGATGTGCCATCAGCGGTGTGTTCCCATCAATCTCTTTTCACATGTTCATTGTACTTTATTGCACAATTATCCCACTAGTTCCATTTGTTTCTATACACTTCTATACAACTCATTCTTATTCATCAATTAGTTCATTATGATTCATTATTGACTCACTATTACTTGTATATATTGATTCCTCACTCTTGTCCTATTTCACATCATTATTGACAATCACTTACTCATTATACAAGAGTAGTATATAAAGAACAGTAGATAGATCCTAGTTTCCCATCTCAACCTCTTGGTCATTGGGCAACTAGATTCCCTTTTGATTACTGGTGTGATTGGCCTCTGATGCTATCCCACTGTTGTTTGAGATCACTATTTCTTTCATCTGTGCTTTGTGCTTATTTCTGTGCCTCTTTGCTATGCTACTATTGCTCCTCAACATACCCGGACTCCCCACCTCCCACTTCCTGCCTCATCATGACAGCCTTCAGGGTAGAGAATAAAACAATAAAGGTAGACTAGAGAGAAAGGAAATGTGTAGTGAGAAAGAATAAGAAGAAGATTACAATAAACAGTAGATTTCAGAAGACCAAGCACTGAGGCATAGTCTTGACAGGCACTAAATGTACAGCCTCTAGTAACTAGTCTAGTGCTTTGCTCTGATATGCTGATTGGTTAATATAAATACTCCTATATTATACTCTAGTTCCTCAATTTAATTATCAACTTAGACCAACTTAGAACACCTCTCCTCTGTCTTCTAAGGCTTATCACCTTAAGACCTTCTCTGTCTCAACTTTAGGACTTATAGTCCTTTTCTGTTGTCAGTGTTATTGCCGCTACCAGCTTGGCTGCTACTTGTGTCTCTCTCATCTCTCTTTTTTGTTCTCTTACTCCAGGGACAAATAGCATAACAGCAGTGTTGTTAATAACTTCACCACTGTCCCATTCAATTCCTTGCACTTAGATACTGATTGGCCCTTTATCTCCAAAGGCACAGCTTGTCAGTATACATGATCTCAACAGGAGCCTTGTGTCAAGTCCATGCCTTGGTACCCTGCTCCACCGCTCAGTACTCCGAGATCTACCATTTATTGTAATCTCTTCCTTATTGTTCTTTCTCACTACAGATTCCCTTTCAACCTAGTCTCTACTTATTGTCTTATTCTTGACCCTGAAGGCACTATATGTATAGCTCCTAGTAGTTAGCCTAGCACTCCGCTCTGATGCGCCTGTTAAGATCATGTACACCGTTAACAAGCTTGCCTCGTTTTTGTGTGAAAGAGAAAGGAAGGAATCTAATGGGCACTCCAATTAACCAATCTAATACACAATATGCGAGTTCACTGCTATCAAATTTATTTAATAACAAGGGGTAGCGTTGGCAAAGGTTCCGCAAAGCTTTGAGAGCTAAGTAAGAAGCTTTAATCAATTAATTTGAACCGTTCTAAGGATTTGATATTCCTTTGATCAAGGTAGATTCACCACGATTTGTGCTTTAGTTTGTATTGATATGGGTATATCAAGAATTGGGGTTTTTGAATCAAAGTAAATTAAAAGCGAAACACATAGACCCCTACAGAGGGCTAGAACTATGTGCTGGCACAACCACACAACGTGATTTGCCCTTAAGACCAACAACTGATCCTAAGTTCGAAGAATACCCAACAACTGGATATACTTCTCGCAGTCACAAGGAGCAGAACACAATGTTCCTATACTCACAAGTGCCAGGCCCGAATGGCTGCTAGCGAAGAGGTTTCAGTCTGGCGGGAGTGTGTCTTTCCTTTTTACGGATTAGCACTGCAACGTCGTCCCAAAATCACTTGTATTCCAGATACATTGGATTGCTATTTATACATACAGAATATAGAGTTGCACAGTACAATTAATTTAATACAATAAATGTTTGGAACCGCCAAGAAACTTCTACACTCGGTCAGATACCATTTAATTTGAATCTACATGTCCTTATTTGGCCCATATTGGTTCCAAGATTCTAGTATACCACCAAACATAGGTAGGTACTTCGATGTTCATTTAATTTAATTGTTTTGGAGAATGACTTGAATTGTGTTCAGCTGTCATTGCTGTTCAACACTTACTTCGATCATTTGTCACCTCGTCCGGAGGCAAATCAGCTCTCCTCAATTCTAATCCTATCAATCTGATTCATCTGGATTAAACTAATTGCTTCTCTCTTTCAATAGACACCCATTGTGCCTATACTCTATCAAGGGAGTTACACATAGTATTCATTTAATTGCATTCTTCAATATTTTCTACATCAGGACTCTTTGACATTCATTTGATATGTCTTCGGAGCCTCGCAGTACTTCGATCGTTCTTCTAGTCATTTTCCTCAAACATGCAACTTGATTGGTCTATTAGACTAAATCGCAGTCTTTTAGATTAATGCATGATCTTGTTCTAGAAGGAGTATTTGATAATTCCTGAGTTCTAGAAAGTCATTTCGAGTCAATCCTCGGCTCATGGTCACTTGAGTAAGTTCTTCCAAACTCCTGCCAGTGTAAGGTCCAAAAAGAATACCCTTGGTATGTCATACGTGAATGGTCATCCTTCGGATGTAGTCCGAGTCTGGTATAATCCTGCTTGACAAACAGGTAGACTGCTATCCAAAGGTAGTATTGGGGATGGGTAAACTAACCAACTTGTGGTAGTATGGGTATATGGTCCCTTCAACTTATTAGACTGATTCAGTATTGACTTTGACTGTCAATCTGGGTCTTAATTACAGTCCTCTCAATACAAATCTATACGTGAAAATGTCACAATTCACAGCATAGACGTCTAGCCAAAATTTAGGCGTGTCAGCGGTGGAAGGGTCTATGGAATGATGTATCATGGGAATCCGGGGTGTATTGTCGAGGCTGGGTTGAGGCGGGGAAGCTTATGGAGGACCTGGGGCGAATGAAGCAGTCCCGTGGGAAGCTAGAACAATGGAGGGGAGGTTCTTCGGGGCCGGTTAGGGGTATGGTAGGTTGGTCAGGGCATGACATTTTGACTGCAGAAGAAGAGTATGGAGTGTAAGGTCCATATTTGGATGAAGTATCATTGCATGTCAAATTAACATCATTATGTTCACAAAATCCAGTCTAGGGATGGGTCAGGATCCCTGATTATATGCTGGAGGAAAATTTGGGCCAAAATCCCTCAGGATCAGGCAAATTTTTCATATGGGATCATAGGGTATAATCACGGGTCCTGATAGGTCCCAACCCATCCTTAGAACAAATGTTCAGAACCAGCCTTGGATTTGCAATACTCAAATTTTTGGGAACCAAATGCCTCTGTTTCACTCGGCTAAGTGCCATCAGATGATTATTGGATAGAAATTTGGTAAATAAAGCTTATAGGAAGTCATCATCCGATCTGGTGGTTGTCGGGGGAGAAAATACCTCATCAAAGATGCTCACATCGCCGGGTTTAGTGTTGCCGGAATATAAGATGTCTTGCAAGATGAGATATCTTAAGATCTGGATTTGGAAAATCAATGATCTTAAGATGGCTTAAGATGGCTTATCTTAAGAAACGTCTCAAGGTGAACATGTTTGTTTAGTAATTTCTACCAATCGCTCGTTGCTGCCACAGTCTACTACTTCCAACGCTGCGTTACTGATCAATGTGAAAAATCTCTTGTTATTCTACCGGATTGTCAACCTTGACATTACATTAGCCTGTTGGTGTGTTGGCGCGTCACTTAGAGAACACTTGGAGCAATTGACTTTACTTCACTTATTCTTGAGTTGCAAGAGTGGATGAATCACGGGGCACCACTGGCATGACTGATATCGATGCTTCTATACTACATGATCTTCTTACAAGTGGTGAAATTGACAGACTTGTAGACCTCATTGGGTCTTCATGCAAATGAACAAACCTCTACAATGTACTTTTTTTTGAGGATCAAGTCTGGGTGGAGTTGTGTATTGTATCAAGCGGCCATGTGTATTTTCACTGATAAGGAAAAATGATCTTAATACGTCTTGTGAAAAAAGTGTCTTAAGATGTCTTAAGGTGGAAAATTCGTGATCTTAAGACTGTCTTCGTCTTGTATTCCGGTAACACTAGCCGGGTTCAGAGTTTCCCCTGCAGTGAAATGCAATATATAAGGCTAATCTCCCTATCAGATTAGCCGTATAAGGTTTATCTTTTCTTTTCCTCTGGCATTTCACCTTAGGGTCGGAAAATTCGAACCTGGCGATGTGGAGCGATGTGGCTGCTGTGTCGCATGTGGATGTTGGGGGCTGTGAGGCGTTATTTTCGGTCTTAAATCACGCTCGCACCCTTCGTGACCGCTATCCATCTCCTTTCTTTGCTGGTCAAAGAATATTTTTTGCTCGAGATATCCCGTTCCTCAATTTCCACCCAAAAGAATCGCGCGTTCGATTGCTATGCATTTCCATCCCTGCGACGTTGATCTGAAGCTCCATCTCTTTTTCATTCTTGGTCTCATATGCTTCGTGAGCAACAGCGCTTATGCTGTACCAGTCCCTGGCGAGGTGAGTACCAGCTTTCAGATAAAATTGCATTATAAACACTGACTTTGTCTATGATCTTTGTTGACCCTTTTAGAATGGATCAATCGTCCCCGTTTCCAACCCAGCGCATCTTTTCGCTCCCGTCCAAGTCGACTTCACGAGGGACAGTGAGATTTCTAACCCCCCACCAGAATTAGCCTCGGCATTCAACATTTTCCCTGATGGCGCCGAGAAACACATGGACGCTCACATCGTTCCAAACTTTGACATGGTTGCACAAGCCTCTGCACGCAGACTGTTGAATATTGCCGCAGAGCATTTCCGTTTACCGGGAATGTATGTTACCAAGTTTAGAGGCTTCGCCGATTGGAAGGACAAAAAGATTCCTTTCAAAGTCACGTTTCCCAAAGGAAGTCTACAAGTGGAAATGTCCCTCATGGGGCGTGACGGGACGCTGACTGGGAGTGGTATCAGCTTGAAGATAGAACGTGGCCGACTGATTCCTGCTGAATAGGTAAGCTGTTTTATTGTCAGGTTCTCGTTCGATGCTCATCAGCGATATAAAGGATAAGATAGACCAGGGAATGGTTTCGAAAGTAAGTTGCTCTATACGTATGATCATCCGATCTTCTCGAAATTCATACCTTATGTTAGCTATGCAAGCTCTTAGGCAGCTCTGCATGTAATGTTCAGTAAACACGACGCGCGCCTTTTAACGCAGGACCTTCAATCATCCAGAGGGGTTGGATGATGTTGGCGATAAAGCTCGGCTTTGTCGCAGACAACATCCTCACGTCTATCTTCTTCATGTCATGGATATTTCCACATAATGAAATTACCGTTGAATCCCTCGGTGTTGTTCGAGAGCAGCAGGAAGCTCGTTAATATTTCCAATTCTTTTGAATCATCGTGAACTCAAAACTCATGCTGCTGGGAAGGTGTCCAGACTATCTTGAGATCTGAAAGGTCGATCGTAAAGTATATATGATTGACCCAAAAGGAATTCCGTATTACTATATAATAATTTTGACAGAAACGCTATCCCTCGAATAACAAAGTTCACTCTTCATCCGATGTGTCTCCCACCGAATCTGTTGTGTCTGAACAGATTGCTTTTCGGTCCTGTTGTGGAGATGAAGCTACGAGTACCGTCCTCTCCGTAGAGCCTGAGTTGGTGGTTATCTTCCTTCGTTTAGAGTTTGAAGGTTGATCAGAGTGAAAATATCCAACATCCTTGCTACCCGAGTTGCCGCGTTGCCGTTTATCACTTTCTCGACTATTTCTGTGCGACTCGACTCGTTTCTCTGAACCGTTGACACCTTGTTGGTACTGCTTGAGAGCTGCCGCAAGTTCATTGTTGTAATTTACGCATTGAAATATAGCGAATTCGACATGAAGCTCGCCCTTTTCATACAAAATGCAGAGCTCTTTGTGAGAAGGGAACCCTCGTTTCGACATTGCATGAGGGCTCTGGGAAGCGTTGTGTGCGATGGGTCCAGGTGGCTACATGAAAGTCTAGATTGAGCATTTGATGCCTCGCATTTCAGCCACATTCAAAACTCACTAGACCGGCAGGGAGTACCATCCCTTGGGGTGCAAACGCCTTCGTATCAAGACATTTATACGTGCCTGCGTAGGCGACGTAACCAGCTACTGTGGTGAACATCTCTCGTGTTTGACCATATGCTTCTTGATACGTCGACTGGACTTGGAAATTGGTTCCTGGTATCGTTTCGTTCATTGGACCGCAGGTGAGATAGTGTTGATCCGTGCCACATTGTGCAGTATATTGTCGGGGAAGGTAAAAGTAAGAGTTTCCGAACCTGGTCGATGGAAGATGCGACAGGCTCTAGGTCATGATCCTATAATACAGTTTGGCTTGCTCACCAATTTGTAACGTTGGGCGCCTTGTAGTTTTGACGCGTCAGGATTTATGTGCGCGCTAATGAGTAGAAACAACACACTGCCAATTTGAGATAAGCCAGAATATCAAGGCCCCGTGCTCGCTTAGGGCCTTCTACCAGATGTCGCGACACACGCGGAAGGAATTGTAGATGCGCGTGGATTCTCGCCAAAGCCGCTTGCGGCTGCCAACAGTCATCACAATATTCAACGGAATTTTGAGGAAATTGTTATCTCACAAGCTGTTCCTGAGTAACCATCTTCTCCATCTTTTTTGAAGCCTCGGAGACGGTTGCTTCCAGAGAGACGATTTTCTACCAGTGGACTACATTCAGGTCTGTATTTTCTACAGCAAATATGACAAAGACTTACGGCGCGTGTCTCCTTTTTCTTTGCTTTGTACTTTTCTTGCAAAGTGGCGATTTCCGAAAGAGTCAAATCGCGTTCTTGGTTCTAAAGTGAACAGATGAGAATAGGAAAGAAAATAGGTAAGCAACAGTGATGATGTATTCGCACCGATTTCTTGAGCTCTGCCTCAAGTTGTCCGCACCTGTCTTTCTGAAAAATCCGACTTTGGGTCAGTTTGACTGAGAAGAAGGGGTTCTGAACGCACCAAGCTATTAATTGTTTCCGCCTGTTCCCGTAACGTGGTACTGTCCGTAAGCTTGAGTAGTCTCACTCAGTGAGTGTACGATTCTAGCAATGAATACCTGAGAAAACGTACTTCGTTCTTGACTGCCAACTGAGGCCGGCGAGCAACGAGCTCTTGGAGACGATTAATCTCATTAACCAGCCGCTCGTTTTCTTTCTCGAGGTTTTTGGCCAGCTATCGTTCATCAAATTAGTCACAGAAAGAAAATGAATGTACGTTGATAGGTATGGCTCTTACTTCGAGCTGCTCCTCTAGAACATCGACTCGACTCTGTGCGTTGTGCAGAGCTTTAGTGAGGATCGGGACCATGTCCATTGAGGAATGTGGTACAAAACAGAATGATGTTGGAAAAATGGTTCGTAAGTACGGGTGATTGGTGAATACGTACAAGAGCCTGATCCGGCTTTTGTGGGTCCATTATGGCTCCGTCTACACTGCATAGTTGTCTGCAAGTCCTCGTCTGGGTAACAGTGGAGTTTTGAGCGATATTGGTTCGAGAAGAGTTGTGTATTAAAGCAAAGTTACAACTGCATTCGTATCGTGCACTTCGGTGAGACACGATTTGCAGATAGGAGGGAAACCGCCATAAAAAGACAGCTTGAAGTGCTCAAGCACTATCTCATCTGTTGGTAGTTTCAAGAAGGTTTTTGTGTCGTAGTCCTAAGATACATTAAAGGGCGATACTAGGGGTTCAATGTTCAGTGTTCAGCCCCTGGAATACCGTTCCTCGCAGAATCGCCGTCAAACACCATGCCATTTGCCCCAATTCACTGTCATAAAAGATTGCATTCAGATTTTACCCCAAGTTTCGGAACACTGGATTCCAATTTGTAGAGTTCGACGTTGTCATTATGCAGACCAGATAATGACTGAGAGACATTAGTGACAGGTTGGCTTCCCGGTACCCACCTCTCTATATATACCGTCCTGTCAAAACCTATAATTTCCTGGCTTCGTTACAGTAACTCACTCAATACTGTGTAAGAATTTAACGTTGAATCATGGTGATGGGAAATAGGATAAAAGATAACTGACTTCCTCCGGATCCTCAAACTCTTCATTTCTCAAAACCTCCCATTTATCTTGGATCCATTGGTGTCTCCAATCTTCCTTGCAGTCCTTGAGCTATTACACCAAAGTCAAAACCAAAGGTGGAATACGGGCCGGCACCCTGTATATATGACACACTCACAGCTTCAAATTTCACATCCGTTGCATCGACATTCTCATACACGAGGAAGGTGCCTGGCCAACCATAGTCAACGAGCTCGATAGAGGATACCGTGAGGGATTTGTCATCTTTCAAAGAGATAAGAATGTTTCTCTTATGATTTTCCCTAAAGGATGAATGATTTGGTACATCACAACAAGCAGATAAAACGTTAAATTGACCTATGAACAACCCTCTTAGTAGCAGCAACCTCCGCAACCTTCGCACACAGCAGTGCAACGACGCTCGTCCGCAACTTCATCTTGTCCGCTGGCTTTGCATTCTGATAACCCGGGAGGTGCTCCAAGATCTGGCCACTCTTCTTCTTCATGATGACCGCCGGCAGATACTTCGGTGAGCCACCACGAGCTGGATTTGTATACAATATGGTGCCCGAGTCCACCAAGTCCCCAACCGCTTTGAGCGCTTTGGCTTCGCCCCAAGTGTAGGTGGAGTTATGTGGTAGAATCTTGACGACGAGATCTTCCCCGTTGTGGCCTTTGTAGGTTCCTTTGAGTGTGTAAGCAGCAATACTGTTCGACCCGCTTTCAGGGAGTCGATGGTCGAGGATAATGCCAGATAGCGGCGAGGCTGATTGAATTGTAGTGTTAGAGCTTTATGACATATGCAAGAATCCACACCCGGAGTCCAACTCGAACTCACAGAACACTTTCTCATCCTGCTCAGTAACGGCTTCCATGATCATCCGCGTCCATTGTCCTCTAATCCGTCTCTGCAAAACTGCCAAATTAGCAGTGACCGACAGAAGTATGAGGGATTGTTCACCTTTACATGTTTGGCTAGAGCAGAATGAAACGCAGGTGCAGCACAGGTTGCCGGACACATGCAGAGCAAGGTCGAAAGAAGGATGATGGAAAATAAAATTTGGCGGTGGATTGGATTCAGCATAATGTGTGTGATTGAGTATCGGTCGGATCACCAGGGCTATGGCTTCGGTTTCTGACCAGCAGAGAGAGAAAGCACTAGGTATAAGGAAGAAGGAAGGAATGTTAGAATGGCGGGGATTATGTATGTAGATGATTCACCGACGGAGATGCCTAACGCCATTCTTTCAATTCGGAATCGATGGATGAGGGTGTGGGGATATTTCCTGACGAATCGACAATCTCTGGTACTATCTGCAAATTACCTCGCAGTAGAGTCTAGTACGAACAGATAAATAGATCGATTGGACCGTAGCAAGAGTCTGAGAAGAGCTGATACTTCCATTCACGATCGCGTGACCAAAATTCAGACGCCCGCTGTTGGCAATGACCACCACAGCCTATCTATCCTTCATCAGCATATACACCACGAGCAGCAAGGATCAGCTGTACTGTATATGTGCTGTCGCATGGTCCCTCCTACGAAGGCGAGGCGACCATTTTGCTGATATCCCTCAATTCACGTTTATATCTATATTTCTGCCAAGTTGAACTAACTGTATACTACTACGTGAAGGTTCTGCATCTCAAAAAATCAAAGCGAGATAACATAACCAGGCTGTAACGATCTCTGAAGGATGGCGTCACGGTACACAGTCACCAGCGGCCATGATTAACTTATGTTCTCGAATTATTCCACGTTCTGCATGCCAAGTTCATCTCCCTCAACTTTCCTCTAGTAGCGATACGATATCATAGCGCTTAGGTCTTGGCACCTACCACTACAATATACGGTATGGTCTTGCCATTTGTGCGTATCTATCTATGTTCTTCGACGATTGATTGGCTAATGATCTCTTCTTCCTATAGAGCTGTTACATACTACTATCTTCCGGACATTAACTGGTATGTCAAGACGTATTTATATCAACTCTACATACCTCAATACGTTTGGAAGCATTCTCTTCTTCATATCTACATAACAAACGCGTGTAGTGACAGAACCGGCCTCACCAGGACATGTCAATCATGTATGATCACCAATATTTGCATCGTGCGGCATTTCCATGTCCGCCACGCTTGCCCTTTTTCTTTCAAACCTTTCAAGAGCTGCCAGCGACACCTGATCATAGTAGGAATCTGCAAGGAACAAACAAATCTCGCCATTCCATTTCAACCCATATCTCTCAAAGTCGTATCACCTTTACTTATCACTTTAGACCTGAAGTGAATCTCAGATACGCCGACAACGTAGGGAAGGAATTTAATTGCAAGTGCGAATACTTCGCAGAACTTTTTGCAAGAAAGGCCCGGGATCATACAGCATAGTAATGCCGACTAAAGGTTGTTTTTTTGCTGTTCTACTAGTACTATACCTCATCATATAAAGCCACCACGGTGAGTCCATATCATCGATCGAAACCCCTTCTTTCCGAGTCTCCTAGTTCTCATTCTTACCAACTCGAAGCCCTCCTTCGCAAATACTTACATCAACCATGTCGACCCCCGCCGCTTTCGAAGCCGCTATCAAGGAGCTCGAAACTCATTCGGAACTTGTTCCTCAAGCTGATATGGAAGTGGGTGTATATATACTTCACCGGTTGGAGGAGCTGGGTGTAAAGGTCTGTTTCCCTACCATGTACTCCCCCCCTCTCCCCCGTTCTCCCCCTCAATCACCCCACTACCTCCCACTGTGCAGAGGTAGGTAGAGTAGTCTGACTAACAAGGCCACTGGCATCTCTTTTTTTTTTGTCTTCAATCCACAGTCATTCTTCGGAGTACCCGGAGACTTCAACCTGGGGTTCCTGGTAAGATCCTTTTTTTTTCTCATCACATACCGTTCAAGTCTTTTTGTTTTTGCACAACTGCACTATTCTAAACTGATACGATCCTCCACAGGATCTCATCGACGATTATCCCGGCATAGCCTGGGTCGGAAATTGGTATGTATGGCATAGTATATGTTTTTTTTTTTCGAAATCGCTTACAGTTTCCGATGAAATGTCATGGCAGTAACGAGCTCAACGCAGCGTATGCTGCTGACGGATACGCTCGTATCAAGACAGGTAGTGTCGGTGCTGTATTAACCACGTGAGTGTGTTCCTCAAACTAATAATGCGCAAGACTCTTCGCGACTCGCCGCACATCCACGTCCACTCGGAAACCGTTGAAAACTGGAACTGACTCGGATAAATCTGATTTCAATTGAACAGGTACGGAGTAGGAGAGCTTTCTGCTATAAATGGGATCGCTGGAGGTATGGTAATCAATCTCTACTCTTCTCCTGAGGTTTCTTGGTTATTGTTGAACTCGCTTGCTCATAACCGTGACGTTTCTTTCCCAAGCCTATGCCGAGATCGTCCCAGTAGTCCACATCGCGGGTTTCCCGAGTCTACAGGAGCAGAACGACAAACCTTTGTTACACCATACTCTCGGTGACGGACGGTGAGTTTTACACTTGCACTTGCACCTGTACTACTTTTTTTGAGTTTTTATTTATTGTATTTTTTTTTGAAAGATACAACGTCTACGCTCAGGCCGCGGAATTATTCACATGCTCTCATACGATTCTCAACGACGCAAACCTAGCACCTGCGGAGATTGATCGTGTTTTGAGCGATTGTGTTCTTCAGGTATATATACTATCATCTTTCAAACCCGCATGCAAATTATACTAAACACTACTAATAATAATATAACAATATTCAAAAACAAATTTCCACCAACACAAAATTTTATTTTATTTTATTTTATTTTCAAACTCTTTCATAATTAGTCCCGTCCGGTATACATCGCCCTCCCAACCGATATCGCTTACATCAAGATATCTTCCACCCGTCTTACTATTCCTCTCCCGAGACTCCCTGTACCCAACGACCCTCTCGCTGAATCCGCCGCCATCGCGGAGATTGTTAGATTAATCAACGAAGCATCGGGCGATGTAGCTGTATTAGTCGACGTAGGTGCTCTTCGGTATGGTGTCGCAGAGGAAGTGAGAAGGTTCGTGGAGAAAACTGGGTTCGCGGTGTATGCTACCCCGATGGGTAAGACGGTGATTAGTGAAGGGTATGAGCGGTACGGTGGGGTAAGTCGGATTTACTACTACTTTTTTTTTTTTTTTTTTTTTTGCTGGTAAATCGCTTGGTACATTCGGAATGACCTAGTATCCTCTCAGCTGTACACGGGAGCCACTACGCGTCCGGAAATCAAATCCCAAATCGAGGAGGGAGCGGGATTGGTGATTTCAATCGGGGCGTTGAAGAGTGATCTGAATACTGGGAATTTTACCCATAAATTAGATATCGCGCGTACTGTCGAGGTGAGGTTCCCTTAACCCAAAAACTTGAGAAAAAAATCTTTTTTTTGTTTGTTTGTTTGTTTCGTTTCGTTTATGGTGTCTTTTTCATCGACCTACCCTAGTTGCACCATACCACTACAAAGATCAAATTTTCGGAATACGGTGGTGTAGGAATGAAATACCTCTTACCCAAACTCACTTCTGCTCTCTCTTCTTCTTCTTCTTCTTCCTCCTCCTCCTCTATCAAATCACAAGCTCTCGCCACCCCAGTCACCCAATGGATATACCCCCTTCCTCAAGAACCCAATGAACCCATCGTCATCTCCCACGCCTGGCTCTGGGCCCGTGTCACACAATTCCTCCGACCCCAAGACGTGGTCATCGCAGAGACCGGGACCTCCGCGTTTGGTGTATTAGATATCCCTTTTCCCCCCAACGCGGTCTTCGTCAGCCAGATTCTTTGGGGGAGTATCGGTTGGACTGTGGGAAGCACACTTGGCGCTGCGATGGCGGCGAGGGAGAGGAACCTTGGGAGGACGATTTTGTTCATTGGGGATGGTAGTATGTGAGTCGAATTTGCAAATGGTTGACAGGAAGTTGATGAATGTTAATCGGATATCGGATATAGTCAGTTGACAGTGCAGGAGCTGTCTACGATGCTCAGAGAAGGACTCAAGCCAATTATATTCCTATTGAATAACAGTGGATACACAATCGAGCGTGCTATCCGCGGGGAAAACAGGTCAGTGTATACTATCATATATATCATATTTACATACTTACCATAATCGACCAATTGATATCAAAAAAAAATATTGATTTTGCAGAAAATACAACGATATCGTCAACTGGGGCTGGCCTCATCTCATGAAAGCCCTCGGAGACGTCGATGGCACGAGAACTAAATCCTACGTGACCAACACGAAAGCGGAATTCGACGCTCTCTTGAACGATGCGGAGTTCTCCGATGGAGCGGGTACGGTGATGCAATTTGTGGAGATTGGGATGAGGATGCTGGATGCTCCGGCTTCGTTGAAAGCTGGGACACCGGTGGGTCGGAAATGGTGAAAGAGGGGGGGGGGGGGGTGGGCACCAGTTTCTGTTAAAATTAGGATATGGAAGATTCATGGGAAATTGTCATTTATTATTAAAGTTGAGTGAGAGAATGAGGGAGAAATGTCCAGGAGAGATTCAGTGTCACTGTGTGTGTGGGATACAAGGTTTGAGCATTAACCATGATCATGTCCTATCTCCATCTCTCTGTCTCTCCATCTCTCCATCTCTCTCTCTCTCTCTCTGTCTCCATCTATCTCGCTCTATCTCTATCTCACGAGTCTATCTCTATCACCCACAACATCCTTGTCCATCTCTCTGTCTCTATCTCGCTCTTCCCGGGCCCAACTCCCTATTCGAAGCCTATCAAAGCCTCACCAAGTCCATAACTTGAACTACTCATCAACTAATCTGCGAACCCCTACACCCAACCCAACCCCAATCGTAATCGTCTGTCTACGTCCACCCGAAATCCTTATCACTTATCACTTATTACTTATCACTTATCATTTATCACTTATCACTGCTCCCGTACATGAATACACGAATACACGAAAAAACCCTCACTCAGATCCTGATCCTGATCCTGATCTTTCATTCACTGAGTCAATGTTCGACATCCATCCGTATTATCCGGATTCCGTGGTAGTAGTATTCTCTGTACTCCGACGTTCCGTTTATCCATTATCGTTTATCCACTTCCCCTTCCCTTCACCTCTTCACAGAGTGTATCACTCAAACTCCACTAGCAGCACCATACCTCTTTATCCTTATCCTCCTGCTCCTGCTCCTCATTATCCTCTTCCTCATCGCCCACTTCCTCCCCCTCACACACACCTTCCGCGTCCTCTGGTGCACATCAACCAAAAGTCCGCACAACGTACGGCGTTGGATGGGCGTGTGCGTGTGTGTGTGCGTGGAGGGGGGAGGTATGCACAAAGGTATGCAGAAAGGTATGTAGGAGTAGGAAAGGTACGCAGAAAGGTATGTAGGAAAGGTACCTCAGATATGCGCATACATGGGAGCGTACTCTGCAACCCAAGGTTTCAGGATCCCGTGACAGCGTGGTCTGAGCGTGGTTGGTATACAGCAGCTGCTAGAGACGGAGAGTCGACTTGTCTTGTATACCCTGCTCGTACACAGGTTCTCGAGGACGACTACGGGAGTTCGGAATCGGGAGTTCGGAGTCGTATGACAGTGGATCCCGTTCACTACCCCCACTCTGATCTCTGATTCCCTTCACTACCCCACTCTGACTGATTCAAGTTCCCTTCACCCTTGTCCCAACCACCTGCACCACCACCACTCACCACCACCACCCACCACCCACCTCCCACCACCAGTCTGTCTGTCTGTCTCTCTCTCTCTGAAATAAAAGCGCTATGGCTTGAATCAGTGACTCCGCAGTGGGTGTGCGCATCCATCCGTCGGATTTGTTTTGAGCTTGGGTTCAAGTTACGCGTATGTACTCGTACTAACGCTAAAGTCTAACGCCTACTACTATTTGCTACCTCACGGTAGTCCCGACGATCGTGATTTCAATATGTATATGCATATGAGTGATTCGAGTTATCCACAGGACCACCACCTTTGTTTACATAAATTCTAATTCCTGTGATGGTTCGTCCATGTATAGTGATACATCAAATCTGTCGGGTGGGATTCGTCATACTCGTACTCGAGGTGCGATATCCCGCTATGCACTCTCGTTGGTGAGCTGGAAAAAGTTGGAATGCAATTTGTTACGCGTTACGAGTCACACGCGTTCCCTATCGGATCTTCCTCTCCAAATGACATCATCCTCTTCCCCAACCACTCCAATACCCGCCCATCGTCATCGCTCAAGACAGGAATAGACCAAGACCCAGAACGACGCAATGACGCAACCTATGAGCGCTATGAGTAAAGTGGGACCGTATAAAAAGACGAGGGGGGGTTATTCGATGATAACAATAACAACAACCAACGATGAGTTCTACGAATAGCGTACCCACCACCACTACATCTCCAAGCAACACCGGTAACACGTCTCCACCGCCAACCCGTGACGCCCACCCTTCCACCACTCCATTATCCACCACCACCCCTTCCACCGATTCCACCAACTCCACCAACACCTCCTCCTCGAACTACCCCACACAACACCACGCCGGCGCAGTCGGCTACGGGCCCAACTACCGCCAAGGTCCTTCCCTCACCGACAAACTCTCCGGTCTCAAAGAAGAACTCAAAGGCAAAGTCACGAAAAACCCGGGGCTGGTGGAACATGGGAAGGAGATGAAAACGGGGGAGGTTAAGAGGAGGGAACAACAGGAGGATGTGAGTTTTTTTTTTTTAATCGTGTTTTTGCTCTGAGGTCGTTGTTGAATTGTTTTGTGGTAGATGAATGGTCTTGATCCGTTTGGAACTGCTGATGATGATGAGAAGAAGAAGGATGACGATTCTTCTACCACCGACTCTGTCAACCGCGCTGACTCTAATGCACCCCACACACCCACACCCTCTACCACCCACTCCAACACCAACACCCCCGTAAACACTCCCCCCCAACCACCCCACCCCGCTAACCCACACTCATCCGCTAGTACCACCCGCGACGCACAAGGACAACACCTCCCTTCCCCTTCCTCTTCACTTAACACCGACGGCGCAGGCGGTACTCCTCCCGCCACCACCACCGAAAGTGGCAGTGGCATGGCGAAACCTCGCGATGTTAAATACATCGACGAGGATGGAAGTGGAGAGCATCAATACCATCACCAGCACCACCACAACAACAGTAATAATTATAACAACAACTCTAACGATTACGATGGTAATGATAATGCGGTAGCGAGTGAACCAGGTGATATCGCTAGAGATAGTGTTCATATGTAAGACGTATCAGACGTGTAAAACGGGGGGTGCGATGGGGGGCGATGGTACATAGATGTCAAACATCTCTCGGCACCTGTACCCATACAGCATGCATATTACTCAACGCCTCGCAGACGTTCCTAGGATCCTAGAACCTAATTCCTCTATGTATATATAGTATGTACACTAAATTCTCGGACTCTGTACCAAATAAAACCTTCTTCAGCAATAATACTCACCACATCACCCTATCAACCCCCTCACCCCCTCACCCCCTCACCCCCTCACCCCCTCCCCACCCTTCACCCCCTCAACCCCCTCACCCCCTCACCCTATCAACTCCCTCACCCCCTCACCACATCACCACACAACCCCCTCACCCCCTCACCCTATCAACTCCCTCACCCCTCCCCACCCCTCCCCAATACACACCCCTTTCACCCCTCACCCTCACCCCTCACCCCTCCCCCCTCCCACCCTCCCCTTTCTCCCCTCCCCCCTCCCACCCCCCTCCCACCCTCCCCTTTCACCCCTCCCCCCTTCACCCCTCCCCCTTTCACCTCTCCCCCCCTCCCACCCAATCCACGGCCGACTAGCTCAGCTGGTTAGAGCGTCGTGCTAATATACGCCCTTTCCCGTGAAGGGGGGGGGTACTATGTTCACGCGACACGCGAAGGTCTTGGGTTCGATCCCCACGTTGGCCATTTGGTGTGGCTTACTTTCTAAATTTTTTTTTTTTCGCGCGCTCTTTCACGCTTTTGCTGTTTTTTTTTGGGGGGGGTGTTTTTTTGGTCGCTGTTTTGTTTTGGCTGTTTCGCTGTCTTTTTGCTGTTTCATGCTTTCACTCTTCACTCTGCTCTTATACACATCCACTCTTTCACTAATCCACTCTTTTCACTTATCCACTCTTACACTCATCCACTCACTCTTTCACTCATCCACTCTTTCACTCATCCACTCTTTCACTCATCCACTCTTTCACTCATCCACTCACTCATCCACTCACTCTTTCACACACTCATCCACTCTTTCACTCATTCACTCACTCATTACCTAATCCCATCATCACACCCCATTCCCTTCCTCCCTTAACTCCCCTTTCAAACATACCTCATACCTCATTCACGCTGTACACATACATATACATACATATGTACATACATACATACATACATACACCCAATATCTCCAAGATAACCAATAAACCAATAAACCAAACAATAAACCAACAACAACACCATAACATAAAATAACATAACATACCAGCACATGATCTCACTTATCCATCAAAACAACTACAACTACGAATTGTAATTTGTCTGAAATACCTGTTAGCATCTCCCATAGTATGATCTACATACATAGAACATCAGCTAGCTAGCTAGCTGACTCTCTATGTATCTATGTAGTCTGTATCCTAGGTATCCCAGAACTCACCTCAGTCCTCTATCTATCTATCCATAAAACAAAACAACTAAGGTAAGGTCGAATCGCTATCCCATGGGATGTACGTTCATACATCCATACTGTACTGTACTGTATTAGTATTAGTATTAGTATCCAGTACTAACACTGTTTTATGCAATTGCAATTGCAAGGTTATCATACGTATGTACGTATGTACATACGTACAGAGTATACTGTACCACCACCCCCGCCCCCCCCCTCCCCCCGTCCTACTCTGTACTCTGTACGATCCAGTCCAAGTAGTGTTATGAGTTTTGAATGTATAGATGGAACCACTGAGTGCTTTCATGTATATATATCAGTAATGTAATGTTGTCCCCCAAATGAATCTGCTGGATGTGTACTTCTCCACTACCACCCTTCTCGTTCTCCTTCTCGCTTCTCGCTTCTCGTTTCTCCTTCTCGCTTCTCATATACATAGTAGTGCCCGCATCTCAACATACATAGTAATGCCCACATCTCAACATACATAGTGGTGCCCACGAATCAACATATTTCACAAGGAGCATGCATGGCATGCCATAGCATTTAGCATTTAGCATTTTCCATTCCACAGACAAAACCAAAACACCAAACCAAAATTCTCCCCATACAGCCCTATAGATCCCTCCCTCCCACCACCACCACTACCACCACCACTACCACCATGCCAAGTCCAAGTCCAACTCTACTTCTGCCAAGGAACAAGAACAAAGCAATCCTCCATATGGCCTGTCACTGTTGTGTCGCCCTGTTGCTGTTGCGTCACCCTGTTGCTGTTGTGTCACCCTGGACACGCCGATATACTCTATCCGATTCAGTGGTGGATGATAGCGCCTACCATTGCCTGCTGTTTTGAGATTGATTGAGATCCAAGACACCAGTGCCCCCCCCCCCCCCCCCCCCCCCCCCCCCGCCGATAAAGAAAGAAAATGTACCCCGAGGGTAGAGCGGGATGTTATCCTGACAGCTTGCATTGTCTGAGTCCACGTATGTATATACATATGTATGTACGCATGTGGATTCAGCCCTGCACCTGGTTTGTCTTGTCTTGTCAGTGCAGTTGATGTTGATGACCAGTGACCAATATACAATCACATAATCCAGAGGTGTTGAGAATATATCGACAACTCCCAGTAGTTTTCTTGGCCTGGGTTGAGTTGGTATTGGTATCTAGCAAGCAAAGATCCCTGCAAAATGCAAGATCTGACCCCTAGTACATACATACATACATGCATACCCTCGGCCCATAGTATGTAACCCAACAACTCCTCTGTAGAGTTTATCCTTCATGAATTATCAGTCCTGCTTCAGCAGTGGGGTTACGTGACTCCCACACATAGCTTTATGTTCCAGTGGAAGTGGAGTGTTTCAGTGTTTTGGCATTAGGTGTTTCGGCATCAGGTGTTTCAGCGTCAGGCGTGGGTTGGAAAAGCCAAAGTGTTGGAAGCATCCGCTGGAGGGTATGCTTTCTGTAAGATGGTGATCGCCTTTGTGCTGGGGGTCCTGTCTAAATTGTCATCCCCAGGAGAACCTCAGTTGTAGTCGACCTCTCATGCACTCCCCATCTCTTTCCAAGGGTCCCTCAGGGGACTGCCTTGTTCCAGCCCACTGTTGTCGGCGAGCCCCTGCACACAAGTCGTCTCTGTAAGTCCTAGTAATCATATATCCAGCCCCATAACACTTGTAGCAGATGCAAGGGTCTGCACAGAAGGTGGTGTAACCATCATCCTGATATCCTGGTTTCCAGAGTTTCCTGGCCAACCATGACTCCCTTGCATTGTCCCGTAGATTGATTTCTTGCGTTTACACACACACACAGATGAGATCCTCTGTGCCTGGCTTGGTGAATCCTTCAGGCTGCTCGCATGTAGACATTGTTGTTGTTGTCATGTGTGATTGGGCTGTTGAGGAAGGCGGCAGTGAAGTTGACTTGGAAGATGGAGAAGCAGAGTACGGTGGTGATAGCCAGGACCAGACAGACTGATTCCATCTGCATCCGCACTACTCCTCTGTGGGTTTTGTTATAGTCTTGGCCTTGTATTTGCATGTATCCCTGAGCTACTACATATTGCACCTTATACTTCAGCAGATTGCCCAATGCATCAAACTTAATTGCATAGGTCCATCGTCCTCCAGTTAGGTTGGCATTGGGTGGCAGTGGCACTAGCTCCCAGCAGTCTTTCTCCACCAGCATGCAGTACTCTCTCTCAATAGGCTCCCTCCAGAGGTCTAGGCATTTCATCACCTGTTTGAACAATTGTGGAACCCACAAGTCCCCAGTTATTGCTGCCCACAAGTATGGGGTTTAAGTTATGAGTGCGGGTGGAGTTGTATCCTTAACTATCCAATCCTCGCCTCTTTCCCTTGCAGCTTGTTCCTGTTTTCCATATTCAGCACTTTCCACATATCTTCGGGATGGGACATGGTCTCTCCCGCTGCGTCATATTGGCAGTGTTGGTTCTGTTGGAGGTTCTCACACTGGTAGGGTTTCCTTGTCCATTTGACTTGGTTGCTTGTGGGATACCAGGTCCCCGGTAACTTCAGTGGTATTTGTAGGTCTGTTGCTTTGTTTGGGTGCTGTGCTTGTGGGTCCATCCTATTCACTCTCACTCTCATCCTCTCTGTCCCCCAGTCTCTGTATACAGTGTGGTTCTCCCTCCTTAAAGGTCACATTGTGTGACTCTTTGATCTTTTTTGTCTTTAGGACCTAGATTTGATACCCTCTGTGACCCATATACCCCAGGAGCTTCCCTTTGATAGCCTGTCTCCCAAGCTTCCTATCCATATGCCGGCTTGGTATAGTTGCCCAATAGTCACATCCAAACAGTCACAAGTGGGATACATCTTGTCTCTTCCACGTCCACCCTTCAATAGGCACCATGTCGGGGAAGCGCGACAATGGTACAAAGTTGTTTACATAGATGAATGTTGCTGATGCTTCCCCCCAAAAAGAGTAAGGGAGGCCTGCCTCTTCTAGGGCTGTCCATGTACCCTCCATTACTGTATGGAACATTCTGTCATGCCCTGGCTACAACCAGACCCGTCCCAGTACCAGCCACCATCTCCTATCCACCTCTACACCTCCCCAAGTACCACCATGCACCTCCCCAATTATCACCATTCCCCTGACATACCTATCCAAATGTCCTGACGTTCACCCTGATATGCATACAACACCCTCCTAATCGCCAACCCCTTTAAGTACTAAATCTCAATTATCTTCCTCCCTCGATTAGCTGCCTCATCTTTCCAGATGTTCTCTTGTTCACTTCCCATACCTATTTAAGTAGCACTGCAACGTCCCAAAGCCCCCAGCTTAGTATATTTTGAACACACACCCTTTACATAGGTCCAGTCCCTGTCCCTTTGTACCTGCTACCTATATGGAATTCTCTTTACTCTCTGTTTCGCTATCTCTGTTTCTCTATAATTCTATATGATCTAATACATGCTTTTACTTCACGTCTAAGCAACCCGAGTGAGTCTTCAAACTCCCTGGACCAATACTAAAGCTCCCTCAACGTCTATCGTTTTGGTGAGCCAATCTCCCTCAAACCTCCTTGAGCTCCCCTATTGCTCCACAAGCTCTGGGACCTCAACCTAGGTAACGTCAAAGCTTCCCCTTACGTTGAACTACGTGTCGCTTCTCCGTTACTACCTCCACCACTCGAGGACACCAACTGCTAACCCCACTTCCCGGGACCTCCTGTCACACAGCGGCAGAGGCAGAGTAACTAGTGGAGCACGGAAGTGGAGTGACTAAGCAAGGCAGAGGCTATCAAATGAGTAAACCTCAGCATTATGTAGAAAGCTCTTCTTATATAATAAATACCTATCAAACGAGTAAACTACAGAAGAATAAATAAAGTTAGAGTAGGTTTAGGTCAATATCTAATGAACTCACCCTCAGTGTTATGTAGAAAGCTGAGGGCGGGGAATTCTCGAATCTATAGAATATAAATAAAAGAGACCAATGACATGCCTAAATTTTGGCTAGACATCTATGCTGTGAATTGTGACATTTTCACGTATAGATTTGTATTGAGAGGACTGTAATTGAGACCCAGATTGACAGTCAAAGTCAATACTGAATCAGTCTAATAAGTTGAAGGGACCATATACCCATACTACCACAAGTTGGTTAGTTTACCCATCCTCGATACTACCTTCGGATAGCAGTCTACCTGTTTGTCAGGCAGGATTATACCAGACTCGGACTACATCCAAAGGATGACCATTCACGTATGATATACCA